CCGAAAAATGACATCTGCCCTTTCCTTTGCCGGAGCAGAGCCCTCCTGCTTCTCCCAGCGCTCGGGGGAGCCGGGATCGTGCGGAATTGCTGCAATCCCCGCAGATCTTTTGGGGGGAGGAGAGAAGGATTACGGGGAGCCGCCCGGCTGCAGCCCTCGCTGCCCTCCTCGGAGCCGGGGCTGAAAACCCTCATGCACCCACCAGCCAGAGGGATGAATTTGGGGACAGCCACCCCAAAAGGCGCCCTGCCCATCCCAGCCGGGGACCGGCACCCCAAAAGCTCCCCCCTCCCCGGGCAGCATCGTGCCACCGCTCAGCCCGGGGCATGCAGGCAGTTGGGGTCCCCCGGGCGCCCCCGGGGCCGGAGAGGGACCAACTCACGTTTTGATGACCTGGCCCAGGTCATATCTGTCGGTCACCTCGGACGGTTGGTTATAATCTTTCTTGTCTCCCAGCGTCACGCAGCCAAACGGCATCGCAGGGCCCGGTGCTGGCAGGGCAGGGAGAGGCGGTGAGAGCCCTGGCACCGACGGACCCCCTGGAACTGCAACAGTCCTATGTCCCCCCCCCACTCCCAGCTGCGCTAATTAACAGAAAACCTGACGAAGCGCAGCGGCTGCTCGTGCTCCCCGGCTGCCACAAGCCGCCACGTGCCCAGCCCCACCGATGTGCGTCCATCCCCGCGGCATCCAGCCGCTCCGCCTGGGCTCAGGCTGCCAGCGCGGCCACAAGCCGGCTCCTCCGGCCCTCGTTTGCGGCTCATTAATGATTCATTAAATAGCCAGGGCTAGCGCAGAGCCCAGAGCACCCGCTGGGGAGGCAAGCGGAGGCGAATGGACCCTTTCCCATTTCTCAGCCTGGTTTTGCCCCACAGTGACATTTCTGGAGCCGGGGTTTCCCCAGGCGGAGCGTGGTTGCACGCCATCACATGTGCAGCGAGTTACACCGGCCTCAGCTCCACATCCCTTACCACCCCCGGCGGCCCCACTGCAGCACCGGGCAGGTGGGCACTGCGGTTCGGCAGTGCCGACCCTCCTGGCACCGGCAGCGGGCAGGACACCGACCCCAGCACACGCTGGCTCCTCCGACCCTGTAGAAGGACAGTTTTGCCCCTTGCTTTCCTGCCAGGAACCCTTCGAATCCAGACCCTGCTTGCAAGCTTCCCAGCAAAAACTTGCTCCCATAAAGTGTTTTTTTTCGTCTTTTCCCACCCTGTTACCAGGAGGAAGTTTCAGCTGACGTTATTTTCTGATGGCTCAGAAGGAGACGGAGCTCCCTGGGCTCCCCCAGCCCTCTTGGATGGGCCCAAGCGGGACCCCGTGACGGGATACTGGCACGATGCTGGAGGCACCCATCGCCCGGTGCTAAAGCTCCCGAAACACCACGCTGCGGTGTGCCGGCCTCGCCGTGCCGTGCCGGCAGCACCCGGGGCCCGGCGGCGCGGGCCGCGGGCAGGGTGGCAGG